AAAGCTTCTATCGCGTTATAGTTTTATTCAAATAATTATCGTTTTCGTACTTTTTTGAGCTTCTCCAAAAGAAGATGGACTTTCCTACATTTCTTCTCATTTGCAACATTCTTGGAACTATTTCGCGAACACTCGCCATCGAATATAATAATCGTGAGTACATACGATTGTGTAAGTGAATTATGATCATTCACTTACTCGAGTTAATCGAATATTTACCAAAAAATGTTCCTTGATCATTGGGAGAGACCTTTAGAATGCTTTTTCTATTAGGTTAGCAAATAAATGATTGCAGATTTTGCTGATAGGTGGCTTTTTAAAATCTACAATGACTTAATTGCCAAGCCAATGTATTTTCAATTATTCAACTTAACAAATACTGTGCCCGTAAAATTAATAAAATAAAAGAAGAAACTCTTTTAGGACGACTTAATATATTTATATCGAAAAATAAGGAAAGAAAAGGATGCGTGATAGAAGTATAATTATTTTCATTAAAAAATTCGTTATCCGGTTGACTCGTTCCTTTTTCCTTTTTACTCTTCACAGCGTACCTCTCAAACAAGGATCTCTCTCTCTTTCTCTCTCTCTCTCCTTCTTTCTTTCTCTTTGCTCTTGACATCACAATTTATTTTATAACAAGCCGTAAATTCTTGATTAACTTTAACGTGACGACCTAAGAACTAATTAAATCGTAGTGTATACTCATTTATCTTTCAGTTCGTAGATTGTGGTTGTAATACGCGAAGAAAAATCAAATAAGCGAGCGCATTTTTCAATACGAAAGAAAAGAAAAGAAAAGAAAAGAAAAAAAGTGGAAAAGGAAAGGGACATCGTTTAATTTCGTTGAAAGAAAAAAAAAAAGAAGGAAAATAATTCTCGCGAGGTGCCGAATTCCCCGTCGAAACTGGATCACAGACGGCTTGTGGAATTTCAATTTAGCCAAATTCGCGTAGTTTTGAACCCTACGCAGAGAAAAAAAAAAAGATAGATACTAGCAAGTTCAGCAGACCAAGATATATACGAAAAGTTGTTTCATTTAAGTTACTCGAGTAGAGGTAAACGATCTAACGAGCTTCACGTTGCAACATTGCACACAATTATCACGCGCGAGTATAAAGGAAAACGAGCACCTCGTAGAGAGTGAAAAGAAGAATGAGAAGAACCTTTCTCTTGAGTACTCTCCTTGAGTTTTTCTTCTTTTTTTTTTTTTTCGTATATTTTTTTATTACGCTTGCGCCCTTATCGATTCTTACTTTTGACCAACAACAACAACAACAACAAAAATAAATGCAACTCTAATTCAATTTGAATCAAACATCCAACTACTCTACACTTGTTAAGTGATAAAATCACAAAAATATTCGAACAATCGTTCAAATTTAATTAATTTCATATAGTCTACAAGAAATATTGCAAAATTATTGTTAAATAAATAAAATGAATAATTCTTCTTTTGAATTTGAATACTCAAACAAATTAACTTTCAATGCTACTCAACGTCAATGTTACTTTTCTACTTTGAATACGAGGAAGCAAGGATTTTGGCAAATCGTCAAAGGTCACGTAATGAAAAATGAAATCATTTTGAGTTTCATGGACACGAATGGCATGGCGGAAAGTGGGCGCGACTAAAATAGGAAAGAATAATTAAGCAACCTTGACGGAAGTTGAAAGTTAAAAAAGACCTCGCGAGACCATCGACTTTGCTCGCTTTTGTCAATGACCGTTTCAAGGTCGACATTCGCTAGCGGAAAGATTGCACAAAAGGTTTTTAACCTCTGAAAACGAAAGGAATATCCGATCGACCTCCGTATCTATGACAAAACTCTTAATAATCTAAAAACTTTTTAAAAGTGAAGATAAAAATGTTACATTTAAACAGAAAGAAAAAAGAAATGAAAAAGAGGATTGAGAAGACAAGAGGGAGCGAGAGAGAGAGAGAGAGAGAGAGAGGAAAATAAAATAGTATATTATATCTGAATAGAATGAAAAGTGTTCGATATCTTCGTAATACATGAAACGAGTGGAGGGTGATGAAAACTCGTACTCTCCCACTTGGAAAAAAAAAAGAAAAATAGGGAAAAGAGAATAAAGAGAGAGAGAGAGAGAGAGAGAGAGAGAGAATATGGTGTAAACTATAGCATCAGCATATTATCATGACCATGTTGGAACCTGCTTCTGACATATCTATTACGCATTACCAAATAGAGACGACTTCAAATTCTATGCGTCGCTTCCCTTCGTGGCCCTTTTCCTTCCATAAAGGATAGATTGAGAAAGACAAGGAGGGAGATTCGAGAAGAGGAGAAACCGTGCTGGAGCAGACGTAGAGGTCCAATTAATCAGCCAGGGCGTGAAACGAGAAGGGCCGAAGGTTGGAGGAGACTCGGAGGAGGTACTGTCGCAGGGATTGCGCTGACAGATCCGTCGTATTTATCCCTATCTGCCTGCTCGGAGCATTAAATTCGTGCTACGCCAGTGGCCGTGCCGGCATTGCTGCCTTTGAGAGAGAAAGAGAGAGAGAGAGAGAGAGAGAGAATCTCTCGAGCCGGTTAACATTCCTGTACGCGTCGATTCAGCTTTCAATTAAACGCGAACGATCGAGGTAGGCACGTACCTCTTGAATCTAACTCTGCGAGTGATACTAAAAGTGAGATACTGTGAGATTTTTTTCTTTTTTTGAGGATTACTTTCAAGTTCATGCGTGCGTGTGTGCAGTCATTCAAGTTTGAAAACTGAAAGACGTCTCAGTAAAACGAACTTTTACTTCTTTCATTAATCTCTACTGAAATGATTTAATTCCTTAAGCATTTTTTATTCGATTATTTGCAAAAAAAAAAATGACTAGGTACAAAAATTACAAAATCGTTGGAATTTATCGCAAAACCATTGAACGAGATTTATACTTTTTACGAAAATATTCTATGCAATTTGAACTATCTTCTGAATATTTAGATAATTTAATGTAAATACAATATCGCGTTGTTTAATTCGCGAAAATAGATAGATATTTCTACTTTGCGAGTTAACAATTGATTTAGTTCGATCAATAATTAAACAAACTTTCCTACCTATCTATGTATGTACATATGTATGCATATATATATGTATATATGTATATATATTATCGAGGAAGGGGAAAGGGAGTAAAACTGGCTTTAGGAAAAAGGCTTTCATGGATGTTACCGAGTTCAATCACGTTTCGCTCACGTTTTTCAAAACAGAAGCCGATTAATGCGAAGGATTGAACGGACGAGTGCATGAAAATTCAGTGTTGACTGAAAGAAAAAAAGAAAATAAAAGAGAGAGAACAAACAACAAAAAAATGGAAACAACTTTATGAATTTTTATTATTCGCACTCGGTAAACACGCGTGATCAATAATAATTTTCAAATTAGCGAACACATTAAATTCGTGTAAATACATACATCGAAAAACGAGTTAATCGAATTAATCGAAAAGAAAAAAATTGTAATTTATTCGTTTCCTAACTATTATTAAACGTATTGATTTTTAAAGTGAAAACTTCTTTAGAAAGGGTGTGATTTGAAAAAATGAAACGCGATGATGTAGTAGGGAAACGACATTTATAAAAATATTTGATTTGCAAACAATGTTTTTAAAGTGTTTTATTATTTACTTTCTTTATTATTATTAGAAAAATTCGCGCCTGTATGAATGCAACCCTCTAGACGGAATTTTTTCTGCTCGAAAGTTAGGCAACCCGTCATACATACGTGTATAAACAGTTTTGACTGAAAAAAAATTCCGTCCCGATAGATGACGCTCGCAAGCAACATTTTCAAACTGTGTCTGGAGGGTTGCATATGAACAGGCGCGCATTTTTATAAATAAATTAATAATTAAATAAATAATTACAAATTAAAAGTACAAATAATATTTTAATAATAAATTACTCTCGAAATTTGTTTATTTAAAGGTTTCACTTTTAACTTGTGTGATATGCAGACATGTTTTTTTGTCTCTATTTTTCTCTTTCGTATTTAGGATAAAGGTACGATAGAAGAGTAATAGCACACGATCGAAAATGGAACTCGTCGAGTTTCCAATCGATCGATCGATTATTACATTCGTAGTCGCAAGGATGTACATACGCCAACGGAGATTTATCTAATGCACTGGGAATTACCTGTTGATTCTCTACAAGAGAACATTTTCTTTCTTTTCTTTTATCTATTTTTTTTTTATTTTTATTTTTTTATTTTGGAATGCAAACACGTTAACCTAATTCATTTTGCGCGGTGACTCGAGGCAAAGTTTTATAGAACCAAAGACATTTTCTCCTACGTTTACGATGTTTTTTATTTTTTCAAATTTCTCTTTTCCTTGATTAACCGAAGTAAAAAAAAAAATAAGAAAAAAATACTGAAATGTACGTGGAGAAAGGAGTAAACGAAAATTAACGTTAACATATTCGAGGGCTGGTATATTTTTTTTCTTTCTAATACTGAAAATAATGAAATTCTGAAAATGATTACTGCAAACTTGTATTGTTAAAGTAAGGATAAAAAATGATAAAATTTCTTTTGAAATATCAATGTAACAATTATGTGTTGTTTAGAATAACAAGATTTTTATAATTTGTATCTTTGATTTATAGGTCAAACAATAGATCACTTGTTTTTATTGTTATATATTACAGGTATTTTTTGGAAAAGTAGAATAAAAACAAAATTGAAAACGTCTCTCGCTATTATTTAATATCATGCGCTTAGTGTGAAACACTGTCTGTCGGTTGTCTCTCACATCAGACACTAAACGTACTCTAATAACCGGTGTTCGTTCGTTCGTTCGTTCGTTCGTTCGTTCGTTCGTTTATTCGTTCATTCGTTCATTCGTTCCTACCGAGGTAAGATGGATTCCGAAAAAGGAAAAGAACCTAAGAGATTACCAGAGTAGAGTCCATATCCGTAAGGAAAAGTTTTGCAATCAATCAGAATTACCGTATCCGCTATCCGTAAGGTAAGGTCAGTAAATGCAGTGCACGGAAAAGTTGGAACGTAATTTATTTTTTTCTCTCTTTTCCTTTTTGCCCTCTTTCTTCTTCCTTCTCTCTCTCTCTCTCTCTCTCTCTCTTTCTCTTTTACTATTTCACTTGCGTGTACTGTATTTGGTAAAATCGAACGTAATGTCATTCCCTTATCTATCCCCACCGGAATCGCAGCAGGAAGTATCTAACCGATCGCGGACACGTTCCGGACATTAATCGTCGAACGATCGATGCTCGTCGAGTTTCGCGCAACAGATTAATCTCAACGTGGAAAATCGAAACGCTGATATACTTTCCAACGATCCTATCCTTCTAATCCGATTCGTTTTGAGTATACATATTCGATTAAATTCTTTCTTTTCTTTATTTACGTTATTTGATTTCTTTTTTTTTAAGCGATAACTTCTTTAGAATGGGTGTGATTTGAAAAAATGAAACGCGGTAATGTAGCGGGAAAACCAAACGGACGATGCAGTAGGGGGAAAGAAACGGCCTAAAACACTACGTAAAAAGAGAAAAAGAGACAAGTCTATCATTATTTATAAAAATATTTCATTTGAAAACATTTTTTCAAGTATTTTATTATTTACTTTCTTTGTAATTATTAGAAAAATGCGCGCCTGTATGAATGCAACTCTCCAGACAGACTTTAAAAAGATAGGCAACCCGTCATACATACGTGTATAAACAGTTTTGACTAGAAAAAAATTCCGTCCCGATAGATGACGCTCGCAAGCAACATTTTCAAACTGTGTCTGGAGGGTTGCATACGAACAGGCGCGCATTTTTATAAATAAATTAATAATTAAATAAATAATTACAAATTAAAAGTACAAATAATATTATCTAATAAATTATTCTCGAAACTTGTTTATTTAAAGGTTTCACTTTTAACTTGTGTGATATGCACACATATTTTTGTTCTTCTTCCCCGACAATTTTCACGGTCGTTAATCTGTATTATCTTATTTTTTATTTTCATCGTACTTCTTATTATTTTATTTCTTGAGACTAGATAAACGAGACAAGCTAAAGGCAACGAACCGAAGAAGTAATAATAAAAAAAAAAAATTAAAAAAAAAACAAACTGAAATATTAGCTTATCTTTTTAATAACGTACAAAAATAAATATTCTCAGATAAAACAAAAATATATAATATTTGCAAGAAGAGTAAAGAATATAAGAATAGTATACGTGAAAAATCTAAGTAACTTTTTTTTATTCTATTTTCAACCTAGAGTGAGAATAAGAGTAAGAGTGAGAGTGAGAGAGAGAGAGAGAGAGAGAGAAGAAAGAAAGATGGTTGAAACTAATGATGCGAACGCTAATTAGCTGGCATGAAAATAATATCTCGCCAATGTTAGAGTAAACGTGGCTTAGAACGAAGGCATTAAAAAGTTTCGTATTAACACGCCAGACGAGATGTTATTTAGCTCCTCTCGGAATTTTCGGTTTACGCGTTGTTCCGTGCTAAAAAAGGGACACGCTTCAGTTCATTTCGTAAACAAGTTCATTAAAAAAACTCTAATTAGAATATTTTCACCTTATCCTTTGGCATCCGTTAAATATATAACAAAAGTTCAAATTCGCGTCAGTCAAGTGTGGGGGAACATAGTAAAAAAAAAAAACAAATTAACTATAAATTTATCTAACTCATGTTTAATTTCAAATAAAAAAATATTTATCAAAATTGTTCATAGAAAATAAATGTAAAACATCAGTTGTGATCGAAACAAGACTAAACCTCATTCATTTATCCATTTTTTTTTTTTTTGTATTGTATCGAACATTAATGAGAATATTTATATTTAATAATAGTGGCAGATGTCCCATGTGGTCATGGGGAAAGCGGAACGCGAACGGCCCGAATCGTTGGAGGTCAAAATGCGATACCAAAAGAATTTCCTTGGTTGGTCAGCATTACCAGAAAGGGTGGCCATTTTTGCGGCGGTACTATACTCAATTCAAGATACATTCTCACCGCTGCTCACTGTTTATGCTCGTGAGTAATCATCTTTTTCTACTTTTTTTTTTTTCTTTCTTTTAACACGTCACGTCTCGATTCTAACGATACAAAACGGTGAACACTTTCAAAAAAAAAAAAACCGCCATGGTTAACTGGTTAATACAATTTTTCTTAGATAAAATTAAATTTTCAAGATACATTGGAGATTATTCAAAAAAAAAAAAAAAAAAAGAAAAAAAATACAAAGGTTCTTCTTTTATTTCATCTTAAACGTACATTCTTCAACTTCGAATTTACGTATAAAATATAGTTATATTAAGGCGAGGAAAGCTACAGTCGAATTTTCAAAATAACGAATGCAAAATAATAACGGCAAATATATTCAAAAATATTCATAGACGAGCAATCCATTCCCTTTATGGAAGGATGCCCATTTTTCTTTTCGCAAATCTGATGAATACGCCTGATCGCCCAACGATATCGTCCTACCTACGCGTTGTTTTATACAGCGAGAGCGAGAGCGAGCGAGAGAGAGAGAGAGAGAGAGAAGGACCAAAAACCTATCCCCACCCCCAAAGAAAAAAAACCAAACAAAACTCTATCTCGTTTACATATACATCGGCATTGTAACCACTAGTTGTCAACGATAAAATTAGTTACAAAAATAGGGAGATTTTGGAATGAAAGGGTTGGTAGGACTAATCGAGCTTTAAAACTCGGACTCATGCCAATTTGACAGGCTGCGGAAAGCCGATATCGAAATTTGGGCATTCGTTGAAAAAAAAAAAAAAGACACAACCTATCGTTGTTCAAATTCTTTTTTGGTAAAGTCATTTTTTTTCATATTGCAAAAACCCGTTTGTTATCCGCGTTTACTTATTGCCCGCTGCTGGTTGTTTCACGAAAATGTAAAAAAATAAAAAATACCTCACCCCCTAACCCCCCCCTCCCCAAAAAAAAAGCATTGAAAACATAAAAAAAAAACATAAACAAGATAAATGTTTGATCTCGTCAAATCCATAGGCATCGTACGTACATATCTTTAAACTACCAACTTTCGAAAGTAATGTGCATGTAAAAGGAAAGAAAGAAGGTCCTGGTTTTGTATTCTATGCCTCACTACCTTCAAATGCAAATTCAAAGAATATAATCGTATTGTAGTCTATCTCTCTCCGTTTCAAACTCAAACAAACAAACATAGACACACACATGTGCGCACGTACACACTCATTAATCATAGTTCAACGTAGGCAAACAACTTCCATCCATAACGAAAAAAATTGTTGATAAAATTACATTTCTCTCGCGTTATTCGCAATAAAATGGAAGGAAAATGAATCTAATGTATTTTGCTCGGTGACATGGCATCGGTGTGCACTATAAACAGAGAGAGAGAGAGAGAGAGAGAAAGAGAGAGAGAGAGAGTGGGTGATCTCGTGCGAGCAATTACAAAATATAAATTGCGTACATGGTGAACGCTAAAAACAGGAGCGGTTAATTTATCTCGTTGCTCGTTTTACAACGCTAAAACGATACCCCCATATTCATCCCTTTGACAATGTATAATGCTATTTAATATTGTAATTTCGATTAAGTTTCATTTTTCTTTTATTTTTTTTTTTTTTATCAACTTTTCACACACCATTATTAAGAAATAAATTTGGAAACGATCGAAACTAGATTTAGACTCTTTCAACAAAAAAAAAAGAAGTCTCGATAGCAAGATGACGTAGGTATCCCTAAAATGCATTGAATGTCGAATTGAAAAAATAGAGGTCAGTGATATCCTTGCATATAGGGTATAGAAAATACATTTGTGATGTGCCAAGTTAAATTGTAAGAATTTATATAGGCCAACGATACCTTTAACATATATATATATATTTATATACATATCGATACGTAACGCAGCTACTTATTTATCGATTTATCTAAAATTCATTGAAATTCAATGAATTTATATAGGTCAATAATCTATTGAAAATATGATATCTATTAAAACAAGAATTAATTGCCATTGATTACGTTATTCATATTTATATAGGACAGTAATAAGAAAAAGATAAAGAAAGTAAAAATATATCTAGAGAGATTTTTTGTATCAAAAGATAAAAAAAAAAAAAAAGGAAAAAACTATCATGTAATCTTGTACTAATCTGACATAGTTCGAAGTCGTACAATGCATAACAGTAAATTCAAACGTATGGGCGACGGGCCGTACATTTGGAGAGATTCGAACTGTTAGTTATCGTGTATCCTTCCCGGTCATTGGTTCGAGAACAAAGGGAAAATAGGAAGGAAGAGGATAGAGAATGGAGGTACAACGGATACAACGGGAATGAGAATTCGAGATTTCGCACAAACGCGCAAGTGCACAAGCGAGAACGCATTCACCATTGCAAGCCATGATTGCGTGTAGATTACAGACCACTCGGTAATTGCTAGCAGCCATGCACAAAACGCACCGATGAGATATCATAAAGAGCTATGGTATGTATGTATGTATGTATATATATATATACATACATATATGTAATATATGTATTATATGGACCGAACGAGAATTAAGGTGGGTAACTTAATCGACAAAAAATTCTTGAAGGAACGTAGGTGTAACAATCATTTTCTTATTGCGAAAAGATTAAATATACGAGTTCAAATACACTTTGATATTAAAAACGAAATATTATAAAAATAAGATGATAAATAAAAAAAAAAAAAGAAATGTTATACCTAGGTATAAGTATTTCAATCGAATGGACGTGACACCGATGAAAAGAAAGGAGATATCTGGTGAGAGAGGTAAACCTTATAATCCGTGGTTCATGGAACAATAGCAGTAAAGAAACTGGCTGTGGAATGGAAAGGGTCCATTAAGACAGCTTTGCAAGATAGATACAACGACGACGAGGAAGAAGACGAGAAAGGAAAAGGAGTTCTGGAGAAGAGCTTAGAAAGCTTCGTCCTGAAAGAGAAATATACATGGAGTATATAGGAGAGTGAGAGAAAGTGAGTTTCCAGAATGGGTGGCTGTGCGTTTAAGAAGATAGTGTCGTAATTTTGTTAATTATTCGGAGGTAGGGTAAACCGATTAATTAAGTGAAGCCACTGTAGCGACTCTCGGTGGAAGAATCCAAGAGAAGATGCGTCCTAGTCGTCGTAGTCGTCGTAGTCGTCGTAGTCGTCGTAGTCGTCGTAGTCGTCGTAGTCGCCGTAGTCGCCGTAGTCGTCCCGCTTAAATAATTGCAAATGTCCAAAGAAACACTTTTCTTCTTACGACACAAAGATAAGCTACTTTTTCTATCCTAAGGCCTTTCAAGTGGGCATAAACAATTGAATTTGATAAATTTAAAATAGTAGCCAATCATATATAAACCAACATGGTAGTTTGACTTTGAGTGTTAAAATATACCTGTAGTATAGAAATGTCGTCAATTAATAGCACATTCTCCGACAGAATCGTATCGGAGAGTTGATCGACCGCGATATTGGGTGCGTGCGTATCTCGAATCAACATAATCGATCACAATTGAGAGAAACTGTTCTATAACTAAGACTACACACACACACACATATATATTCCTAATCAACCTTACAGTAAAACAGATACTCATACCTATTCTAACATTTATACCTAGGATGAAACTTTTCACACGATATCGTATTACGGTGTTCATTCATTTTCTTAATTCATTGTTTAAAAAGATAAAATGTGAGAGAAAAAGACTAGGATCGATTGAAAATAAGAAAAGGATAAAGCGTAATTAGGTCAAGAAGGAAATAAGTAACCACCGGGAAGCGGCAAAGTCGCACATTATCTTTATAATGGATTATACTAGATTATTAATTTCGTAGTCGCTTAATCTTTTCCACTTCAATTCCTTTTACGTCTTATTCCAAAGCCTCCTACTCCGATTCTCTCTCTTCAATTTTTTTAATGGAGTATCTTCCATTGAATAAATTGGAAAGAAAATTGAATAAACGTATAGAGTGATGTGTTAGTGCGAGCTAACTGGAAGGGCTCGGAGGAAAGGTTTGACTTCCGCTCGAAAGCGCGACGAAAAATTTCTAATGAAGGTTCTCCAGTAAAGATAAAAATCTTCTCTTCTTAGGACTTCGTCCTGTTATCCCTAACTAAACACCCTAAAGAGACTATTTTGTTAGTTTTGGAAGCAATTATTTTTTTTCATCAAGGGTAAGTTCCTACCCTTCTCCTTTTATTTGGGACTTAGGACAAGGATAAGAATAATAGGTGAAAAGTAATCGAATCATTTTCTCGTAAATCCCCATAATAATGTCTACTCGTCCAATAAAAAAAAGAAAAAAGGTTTAGTAATCGCGGTTGACTCGTTTAACTTGGTTTCAAATTCTAAAACGAAAATCATTCGAAAAGAATAGAAAAAAAGAAAAAAAAGAAAAAAAGAAGAGGAAAATAAACTCGTCGAACGAGTATCGTTAATATTCGAGATGAAATTACGAAATCACGCGCGAACGCGTGGATTTGCTTGCTTGGTCTATCTTCTCTTTCTCTTTCTCTCTCTCTCTCTCTATCTCTCTTTGCGTCCACCATCCGTAGTTAAGCTTCGTTAAGCTCAAAAACGGCGCTGAAAACGGCGCTGAAAACGACGACGAACGACGTTTCTACTGGATGGAAGGGGATTAATTAAAATACGAGTATCGCGAGACGAGTTTCCGTACGGTTTGCTCGAGAATCCTCTCTCTCTTTCTATTTTTCTATCTCGCTTCTACTATCACCACCTGCCTCAACTGAAAAAAAGAAAGATTTGTGGTATACAGGGAACAGAGCAAAAATCCTGAGTTTAAGAAAAATTATTGTCCGTGTAGTCTATATATCTATGTTATAGATTTCTATCTATTTATATATATATATATATGTACTTATACGATACGCGTACAATATTGTTACATGCGAAATACAAAATATTATATAAAGTTTATATATATATATAGAAATATTAAATTAAAAAGATTATTCTGAATTTATTTTAATGTAAACGGGAAAGTTCACAGAATAATTGCATTTACTTTATTTGTTATTTTTATACAGGTAATAAAATTGTAAAAATCATTGTATAAACATAATATAAAAAAAAAAAAGAATAGAGTGAAATTTGAATGAATGAATGAAGTGAAATAAAGAGAAAAACGGGAAAGAAAGAAAAGAATATTTGAGTCAAACTAAAACTACTACCTACTTTTCAGAGGTACATCGACAATTCCGATACGTCAATTACGAGTGACTCTTGGCGAGTATGACTTGAAAGGCCCGGAAACGCCAGCGGCTAGTGAGGAAAGTGTCATTAACGCGGTGGTGCATCCCGGTCACAGGTGTGGCCGATACGTCGACGATATCGCCCTGTTAGAACTGGCGAGGCCGATTACCTGGTCGGAAAGCGTGAAACCCGCCTGTTTGCCCGCGGCATCGGGAAACCCAGGATACAGAGCTTTCGGTGGTGAGAATGCAGTAGCTGCTGGTTGGGGTTGGCTTGGCGAAGACAGATCTAGATGTAAGTTTTCAATTACATTTATTTGAGATTTGTTATATTATAGATTTCATCTATAAATCATTTCTAATATTATTTCAATTGTCATAAATAACGCGTAATTATTAGATTGGTGCAAATGAAATGTCGTTTTTTTTTTTTTAAGTCTTGCTTGTAAAAGTGTATTGAAACGGAAATGGAGCAAATTGTATATTCACTTAAAAATCCGACATTTCATACGCACCAACACCTAATAGAAAAATAAAAGAATGAAAAAGACGTGAAATCGATATGTTTTTATTTAACGAAAATTTGAATAAAACCAGTCGAATGTTTTGCTCGTGCTTTAAAAGCTCTCTCTCTCTCTCTCTCTCTCTCCCTCTCTCTCTCCCTCTCTCTGATAGGATAAGGATGGAAGGTCGTGAGTCGAGGGTGGAAGTTACGAGAAAGTAACTGAAATGGAGGAGAAGGAAGTAGAAACGGTAATGACGCGACGCGTCCACGGCACGAGGAAGATATCAAAATGTACTTTAGAGTTTTGTCTGTAGTAGAAGCAAGTACCTTCCTAAATTCTGCGTTCGAGTTACATCTTCTCAAGTTCTTGCTTACTTATCGGAGTCAAAGGAACTCGGAACACGTTTGCGAACGTTCCGAGCTAACTTTACTCGAAGAAAGACAGTGAGACGGAAATAGAACGTGATAGAGTAAGAAAGAGAGATGAATTCTATTCTATACCGTATTCACAGTATTCTCAAGGAGATACGGAAATGTCAATACTCTCGAAAGGTAGTCGGACGTTGCAACAATCGGTATACTTAACGAAACGCGTATAACGTAGTATGTATTAAATATATTTACACCGATGTCATTTCGATTCGTAACAAGAGGAAAAAGGACATTTTCCAACGACATAAATGAGACTAGTTTTCTTCAACGAACTTACTAAAACGTATAATACTATATACGTCCTTTCTGATGTTGAAATTTCACGCATACGCGAATACTTTACTACCTAATACTACTTACTACTATTATATTATGAAAAACTCGTCGAATTAATTTCTTCTTCAATAATATGCATGAACACATATTATATTATAGAAATATTTCTATGTATATTCCTTGTTGAACTAATCAAGCTAGACTAAGATCTAACGGCAAACTAACGTTGTATCTTTGCAGACAAAAGAGCAGACGTGATGCAGAAAGTAAACGTTCGAGTAGTGGAGAACAGTGTTTGCAGAGAATGGTACGCCAGTCAAGGAAAATCTACACGCGTGGAATCGCAACAAATGTGCGCTGGGCATGAGGAGGGTGGTCGAGACTCTTGTTGGGTAAGTGGCTTTTGCTTTTACATTTATAGAATAAGAAACAAGAAAAAAGGGACGTGTTTGGTTAAAAAAAATTTCAAATACTAATCAAGAACAAATTTTGATTACTTTTCGGTATACCCCCAAATAATTGAGTAAATTAACGTTCACTTTCTCGTCGTAGCTTTTCAAAAGGTTTTAGAATGATCGTTAAACTTTCTAAATATATCGTCGAAAGAAAGTAATTCGACAAAATTTGATAAATATAATAGAAGAGATTGTCGTAGTACGTGAGCGATTAGCAGAGAATTCAGGAACAATTCGCACGAACGAATAGTAAGAGCTACATCCCCAATAATTGCTTAGCCGCAGACCAGAGAGATAGTCACCCCCTAGAAGGGGTTGTAGTACTAGTCGTGTGTAGTAGTACTGGTAGTACGTTGACAAATCTATTGGCAGAACAATGCACTCTGGCACGAATATATCATTATTTTTGTCCTATTTCATACGAATTATTGAAAATCTAAATCTACTTGCGTATGTCTAGACCATCCTTTACAACGACTTATATTTTCGACAATTTGTGATGCTGGAGGTTTTCTTTTACAGTTTTCATGAAATAATTTTGCTTAGGAGAAAAATGCGAACACTAACGATTATACAGGTTTAGTAGTATCGAGATTATATGAGTCCATGCTTCGTAGGATGCAATCGTGCACAAACAAACACACACATATACATATAGCCAGAAGTGGGGACTACAAAGCATAGCATAAAGAGGAAACCGAGAATAGGAAATACTGTATAACTATATATTCTGTCTCATTCTATCGCAAGCTCAATTCTTACTAAATATCGTGGCCGTTACATAATAGCCGGTCGCCGTTCCGTTACATCGCCGCCACGTTTCACTATTTTCTAAAGAAGTTTTCACTTGAATAAAAAGAAGAAACGAAAAAAATGTTGTAGCTTTATCAATGGCAAGAATTTATTTGGCGTAATTTAACGTCGTCGAATGAATCATCAAGCGTACATAATTCGCGGTAGAAATAATCCGTTCGTAATATGAATGCGAGTTAATTTACGTGAAACTTTAGCGCTTACGAGTTAACGAGTTACGATCGTTTGTATTACACAATAAACATTTGGAGTATTCTTCCTTTCTATTTGTCTCTCTCTCTCTCTCTCTCTCTCTCTTCATTTTCCTCTCTATCTCTTTTGAGCTTATTATTTGAAGAGAGAGAGAAAAGAATAATAGATTGTAATATTAGGTTCACACTAGAAACAATATGCTGTATCAAATTTACTTCTGAAAAAGGATCGGTTTTTTTGTTCTTATTTTTCTCTTCCCTTTTATTACAACTAATTTTTCACTGTAATATGTGATAAATTACATTAAATGACATATAAATGTAATATGTATTTACATATGATCGTACGTATCGTTTAAACACTTAATCAAAAAGCGTTCGATCCGCGATCGAGAGACACGAGAAGGAGGAACCGCTTAGCAATTAACGTCGATGGCTTTTGTGGTCTCGCAACAACGCGAAATTATTTCGATGGAAATGAATGACACGACACGATGCGACTCGAAGCACGATTTCAACTCGATCTCACCTATATATTTTACCTGGAAATTAAATATTTGAACTTTCGTACATTTGAAATGGCAATTGTCAAGTCTGGAAAATCTTTTGCAATTGGAAAATACACGAATATTGTAAACAATTATTAATATTTTCTTCCTTTATATTTGTCCTCCTCTTTCTCCTTTTGTTTTATTTTATTTGATATTTTATTACCCTCTCGTAAAATGCGTCATTTCACGAATTACCCCCGATGATTCGTTTTGTTTACCCACCCTCTTGTTATGCATGCGCGTAGGGTACGTGGTAGGGTACGCTGTAAAATACATGGTAGGGTACACGATATTTTTATCCAAAATGAGAACGTGACCCATTTACGATAAATTGTCTCTCAATCCTAGTACCATATATATATATATATATACGAACTTTTTCAATAGGAATACCAAACGATTTCTTCCTTTTTTTCCCGAGGGTTATTGAAATTCTATACTCCTGACGCATGTTTTGTATTTGTTTCGAGATCGATCAAGACCAAACGATAAGAAGAACGAGTTATTCATTGTCCAGTTATCTAAGGAAAAAAATAATAAAAAAAGATCTTGTAGAAGATATTACCATAAAGATATACCCAACGTGTATATTCGTTCGAGCGCGAAATAACAAAATACTGGATCAACATGAAATAAAAGTCGATCGTAGATATTGTACTTCGTCCCTTATCGCTTTCCATCTTCCATTTTCTTCTTCTTCTTCTTCTTCTTCTTCTTCTCCATAATTTTATTCACGAAAAAAGAAACGATACCCTAACCCTGAACCAATAACTACTAGTTTTGTCAATAATCTGTTTCTTTTTGCCAGTGCTAAACGAGGAGAGACATTAATTATTGAAAACATTTCTGATGTTACTTCTAACTGTAATAAAATTTAATGTAATATTCATTTTTAAATATTCTTCTACATTCTTAGCAATAAATAAAGATTTATGCAAAACTAGTGATTTTATTGATTCAGTTATGCTCCTTACTGTATATATATATATATATATGTATCGTTAAAAATAAATAAAATTAAATTAGAAAAATAATCTCATTGTAATATAACAAAAGAAACAAAAATGTAATATACGCCAAAGTATTTTGACTCAATATTATATTTTTCTTTTGATCTAACCATCTCTTTTTAATGAAAAGAAAAAGGACGAAATACGCGAATTGAATCAGAGAGCTTTGATTCGACATCAAAGGATAACAAAAGTCGGATATCCGTATAGTAGTATTATATTTTTGTAGCACGTATAAAAGCTTTGTTTTTYTTTTTTCTTTTTTCTATGTGATAGAAAAAGACAAAAAACAAAACAAAAAAGAAAATAAGAAATAAAAAAATTACATTACGCAGAGAATTTAGAACAAATAAAAAGATTTAATAACTATCTAGAAATAGTTAGTAGATATTTAAGATTGCTGCTTAAACACAAAGATACGCGAAATAATTTGATTCAACGTATCGTTTGTTGACTTCATACATAATTTGAGCTTGAACCAATGTTCCCAGAATAAACCAAATTAATACTGTAATACAATATCTCACGATTATTATCGTGTTAAACTAATTTAATGATAATTAATTAGTAAATATTATAGAGAACATTGAAATTATATGAAACATATTTTATTTCAGGCTGACAGTGGTGGTCCTCTTATGATCGTAAGTAATCCTAATAGAAGAACAATAGTCATTGGTATAGTTTCCTCTGGAGTGGGTTGTGCTCGACCACGTCTACCTGGTCTTTATACAAGAATCTCCGAATATATATCTTGGATCACGCAACAAATCACATTTCATTGATTGAAATTAATTAGATCATTGACGAATCTATTTGATTCTTTGAACATCATCGTTCTAATCACTGAATCAAATAGATAATAATATATGTGTATATATATGTTCTTCGTAACGAGTGATAAGATACGAATGGACAATCTCATTTACTGCTTTGCGTTTGCGATTCATACGATTTATTAAACAAAAAGTCATTAGTTTAAGTTATCAAATTTATGCATTTTCATATGTCATAAAACTAACGTTAATTATAATGTTAAAAATGTTTAGAATATTAGAGTACCTCATGGAGGTGTCTAGTCAATAGTTTGATAAGAGATACAAAGAGATATATAAATTAATATATAATATACATTATATAATATAAAACAATGACATATATATATAAATATTTATAAACCGTTAATAAAGGAGTTAATAAGCCATAAAAGAAAAGTTCACTACCATCCCGTTGAAGTTTACCTACTTGCCAATTCTGTTGATAGGACGTAGACAATATCGTCGATAAACCAGGGTAATAAACGCGTGTAGTAGATGAACATTAACTGCTGCGTATAACTTTCGTTGAAACTTTATAGTTAAGGGACAGGAACGCTTAATTGCAGAATACAGGGTACACAATATCCCAAGGGCACTTTAAGCTATCTAGGTCAAACTTTCCCACAGGATTGTACGCGTTTCTAGTTTATAGTAGGACTCTCTTGAGATTCGAATAATTGATTATTCGTAAATATCAAATAAAAAAGAATTTTTTTGTTTTTTTTTTGTTTTTTTTTGTTACACTCTTATGAAAAATAAGCATCTCTCACATTACTTTATATTAAATCAATAGACCGTTTCTTTGGGTAATTATTTTTAAAATCAAATCAAATCAAAATTCATTGTTTTCTTTTCCTAAACGTGTAAACATTTATTAACCCATTTGCATCCGAGACTGCGAGCAAAGACTTTCTGCTATCACCGAGCGTAAAATATTCTGCATAAAAATCATTTGGTTTTCTATCTGTAAACATTTGAACGTGACACGAATCAATCGTCAGTTGAATGTCGCAGATGTTTAAACAAAAATCCTAGTCATGATGCAAATGTGTTGTTTCATTATTTTCTCAACTTATTTGAAAAACTTAATTCGTTTACATCGAACCTGTTAAACATTCAAATTATTTCATAACAACGTAATACAGTAGTAAGAATTACTATAAACTTCATAAAAATGAAAAAATCTTACTGTAAATAGTACGTAACTTTAAAGTCATGTTGCATTTAGAAATTTCAATCCACATATATAAATATATAATATTTCAATTACTATCAATAGAATGTAATTATATTCTCCTTGGCTTTCTCGGTCTTCGTGGATTCCATGAAACCCTAGTACTATCTGTAATCGATACAATTTCTATTCCTCCTATTTGAAGACCTTTCAAAGCAGCCTAAAATATACAAGAATTTATATGAATTTATTGTATTATTTAACCCCATTCACATTAAACTTTTTACATACTATTTCATTAAGACTTTGTTTAAGTAATTCATAGTAATTTATTATCAAAATATCACAATGAAAATATTCTTTGTCCCATAAAAACGAAAGTTATTTATGACTCGAATATTATATTATAATATATTTACCATTCTACCAGCACCTAATCCTTGAATACGTACTCTGACTATCGGTACAGATCTATTGCGAATAGCCTAAAAAAATAAATATATTTTCATAAATACACATGCCAGTTAGAAGTTGTAATTTACATATGTTATTATTCAAAGTAAGACTGTTTCAAATTCTTACGTACCTCACTGAAAGTAACAGCTGCTTGTTGTGCAGCAACATTGGTACCTTTTCTAGTATTTTTGAAACCTTCTATACCCGCAGTATGAAGTGCTAACATCTTCCCTATATGTGTATAAAAACATTTACAAATTGAATAGAAATTTATAGTAAGAAATACGATATTGTATACAAATTTACATATACTTTGAGTATTACTTTGAAATAAAAGTTTATAAAATAACCTTTATGATCCGTCAAATTCAAATGAGTATTGTTAGGAGTTGCATTTATATTAACAATTGGCAATTCCTTATATGGTATACCTTTAAAAATCCAATTAGGTGTGTTTTCATCTGGAAAGAGTCCTGTCCTATAAGTATAAATCAATTATACTAATCACAATATGTAAAACAATATATGTAAATAATTACACACCATAGGAATAAAATACTTAATAAAAATAAATTTCATTATATCAGATATACTCACTGATTCAAATTATGTACTGTTCCATCTGTTTCTCCTTCAGCTATATTATGTTTATTTGAAACAACTCTAACTTTTGTATTTTTATCTCTTATCTCTTTATTATTGAAAGAGGTTATGTGAAGATTTCTTAAGATTGCTGCAAGAATACATTTTGAATTATTTACCTCGGAAACTAACAATTGTTTCGCTGTATATGATAAATTTGTTATTGACAGAAGTTTATTCATTATTGTAAATCTTATTATTTAGTTTTTTATGCAACAATAAATCAACAAATCTTTAAACTGCTTCGTGCATAACAACTGACACACATGCACTAACGTAAAGTAACTACTATCGCCCACTGGTGGTCCCGGTGTCAACTAATTGTTTTGATTGTACCTAAGGACTACATTTCTAACTGATGATAAATGAAACTAGTAAACTATATTACCGACAATCGATAAAATGCAATCTAATTTCAGGAGTAATAATAATTAAAGAAAAAAAATAAAAAATAAATAAATATTAATTAAAGAAGAGAAATCGATAAAAAATTAATTACTTAATAAACTATAAAAAAAAATAAATCTAACATATATATATATATATACTATATTTATAGACTATATAGTCTGATAATCTATCAGTTTTCAAGTGTTTATGTTAAAAGATAAAATATATGACGTTGATTAAAATAAGTAACATATGTTATGCTTATTATTTAGCTGATCTTAATAAAATATGCATTTATTTTTTGGTATACAAAAAAAAATTCAAACAACTCCAATGGATAAATTGATTCCTTTGTTTTTTAACCTGTTAATTATATCATCATATAATCATATATAATATAAATATACGATTAAATGAATAATATTAACGAATGGCTAGAACTTCATAATCCTTGAAGGATAATTCTTCACCGTCAAAAGGAATGTAAAGACAACCGTGACTGGGTTGAACCTGTATGAAAGAAAAATCAAAAATTATTCAAATAATCGATTAATAATGAAATATATTTATAATAATATTTGTTAGTTAATACCTTGCCAATTGTTTGAGAACCATTGTGAAGGACACGACCAATGTATAATGTTTCACCGTCGCGTGTTTCTCCACCAGCTACAGCATCCGCAGGAATTGATCCGTTACTGCAAAATTCCCATACGTATTCGCTTTGGCATAATACCTAAATCAAAATCATATTTACATTAATCCAATGAAAGATAATTAATAATAAATTATAAATTATTATTAACCCTTATCACACACTCCAAGAATTCCCCAGAGTGATTTATTAATTGTAATAATAAATAAATTATAAATGAAAGTTTTTTCAATTTATTAAATATACAAATTAATCAACATATAAATAATTATAAATTAATAATTGATAATTTATATATAAATATGTTATTGATATACATTTTATTTTATATTATTTATTTTTTTTTTTTTATAAGTTTACAATCAAAAATTTATTAATCCTAATTCCCAATTCTATTATTGTACATATGATTTTATATAACACACACATATATGTATGTTATATATTCTTTTTATTGTCTTGTACAATAATGAGATGAATTTATTGACTAAAAAAAGACAAAAAAAAAATGTTTTCTTTAAAACCGTTAGTTTACTTTCTTTCATTTAGAATTTAAACCATCCATGACTAACTTTCAATAATTTACCTTGACGTATCTATTCGTGCGAAAAATAATATATCGATAATAATATCATTTGTTTTCTTAGTAATTTGATAAGATTACAAGAGAATCAAAATCTATCGATATAATATGATACTAATCATTTTACAAATAAAATTGTGCACAGAATTTGAACGAAGTATTTAAGAAAGATAGAAAAATATATACAGTAATCCTCCCTAATTATACTATTATAATTCGTTTTCATATTACGCGATTTCATGTCTCTCGTATAACACGCATTTTTTTCCCCTATATAACCCGGGGATTCCCCACTTTCCGCAAGAAAAGTTAAAGTGAATCATTTATACTTATACATACAATATACCCTGTTATAGGGTGTGGGGAGGATTACTGTAATTAAATTTTTATAAAAATCATAATGGTTTTTACCTCAAAATCAGATTTGGCATGTTCCTCGCCATTGTAACAAACATAAGCAACATTTTTGTCAGGAATTACTTTGGCTGGAAGTATATCACCTTCGTGATAAGCTTTACCAACATAAATGGTACTTCCATCTATGTCACGTCCACCAACAACAGCTGTTTCGGGTATTGATAATCCCGCCGACCGATGAATCCATCTATAAGCTGTAATTATTATAATATATTATTACATTTTCACATTTTTTTAAATATATTCCTGACAATTTAATAAAAACAAAATATTATAACAATGTACACACATGTAGAGTATTGTTATTTAACACTAGATAGATAGATAGATGAAAAAAATGAATGTCTTTTTTTTACCTGGCATTTTGATATTTAGCACGCGTCGTTGTTGAAATTTCAACACCGAATGATTTTGGATTCCCCTAACACACCTTATTAGAGATTAAAAACTTCTGTAATCTTATCTACCAACTTGTTTGAGTTACTTTTAAGCGAAATACAGATAGTATTCTTTGAACTAACATAAGTGCCTGTTATGTATATGGTATAACATCGATAATGTGAATATATTTGCTTTCTTCTTTTTTTTTCTTTTTTTCTTTTTGCTTTCATACTTATTCACCCATTTTTTTGTTTTTTGTTTTTAAATATTGAATAAACATCTTCGATCGATAGTTTGGTTTACGACGTCATTTATCATTAAGTGTTTCTTTCATATATTTAGGTTGGTAAAATTACAAAACAAGACACAATTCGGGATTGTATAGGATCCTCCTATCCGGTTTATTGTTCCCTCCAGACGATTTGTACAGTTATTTGTTCGTTCTGATTCATCATCGTTGTTTCAAAATGACGTCATTTTTTAAAGAGATACGTATCTAATAAATAAGACAAAATATTGACATATTATTTAAATTATAAACGTTATCATTTTTATTTATCGGAAATGACATCCAATAAAATAATTGCATTTATGTTTATTTATTACAAACAAGGTTCTATAAAAAAAAAAGTTTATTATTCTCTTTAATATGTATTTTATATGATTAATGTTATCTCTAAAGATTTTTATGACGAGAAGAAAGTTATTTATTATGATTGATGAGAATTATTTATAAAATTAAAAAGTAGTAGTTACCGACTAAGCTTTTACCGACTGTACTATTATCGACTAAATTATCATTGATTGCGCTATTACCGACTAAGTTATTACCGACTGAACTATTACCGACTAAGCTGATTGTCGGTAAAAAAAAAATTTATTACATATTATTAACTTTGCTATATGCAAATATTTTAAAAATCAGCAATACTATTTATTTTAATACTTTATATTTTTTTTTAATTTAGAAACAAACTCTGTGTACTATTCTCTTTGCATCTAAATACAAAATAAAATTAACTACTATAACATTAAGTATACAAATGTTATTATCTACAATAATAAAATGATTGGTTAATTACTTAATCTAATTTTAGAAAACTATATTCTGTTTACCTTTGTATTAAAATATTATAATTCTATATTATAACTTACACACATATTATATTTATATTCTTCATTTTATTATAGACATACCGAGGATTGATTGTGGATTGGTTACACAAACGGAAATAATTTCAAAAAGCATAATGTTAACATAAACTATATACTTACTAGATAACGCATGTATTACCAAAAGTCTAGAAACATTTTTGAAATCTCATCTTCTAATAACGATTAATTTTTCTGAACATATTATTGTTTTTATTTAAACTATCAAATGATTAAAAACGTAATAAAAAAATAAGAGAAAATATTGAATTAAAATGTTTAGAATCATAACTCACTCATATAATATAATATTCTTCCGATAGATGGCATCAAAGTACCGGAAACGATAAATTTCATCTTAGAGTTACCCAATCTATTTTAGTTTTTAATCAACGACCAATACCAACGATCCTACTGAAAACAGTTTCCGTTTCCTTTCCATTGCAATAGTTTCTTTGCTGAGGTATGTTGTGTGTCTTATTATTTTTGTTCATCCTATTTTCTTATATTTTCACATAAACATTTTTTATTACGTATAGTTTACATCTGAACCACGAACCTATAATCTTCTATTAAATAATAAATTAAAATAAAAAATGTGAAAGATTATAAATATATTATTAAAAGATATGTTCGAAAGTTTGTACAATCAATGGGTGGTCACATGGCGGTTATTAAAAATACTTTGCAATTGATATTTCATGATATAATTACGTTTAAAGTTTGTGCATTCAATTAAGTAAACTCGTAATATTAATTTTAATATTTAATTACTTAAAATATGAAGTAAAAACTAAAAATTAGAAAAATATTCTCAATATGTTAAAAATGGTTGTATAAGGTGGTAGAACGGTTAGGTCGGCCACATGGCCACCATTATAGAAAACTTAATATATATATATACATAATTATAACAAATTGTTTTTTTTTTTAAATTGACTAACTTATTTCACAATGAAATTATTCTAGAATATATAATTTTGTTGCAGTCCTTAAATTTCCGTAAGGTATCCCTACGCACACGTTAAGATGGGTAGGGAGGACAAAGCAACCTGGAAGTCTAATTACTTCACCAAACTTGTAGTACGTGTTCATATACATTTACAAAAATATTATTGGGTTCTCTCAAAAGTTCATGCCGATTTTGTTAAAACATTGAAATGTTTTGTAATTTAAGTCTTTTTGTTTTGGTATATATTTATTATATTATATCTAAGTACCATACTGTTTCACAATCTTTCTCCATCTTTAAGGGTAACTTCAAAATTTCCTCCCCTTTCAGAAAACCAGAAAACTTTTCAGGTATTTTTTGCAAAAGAACTTTAATGCCATCTACTGAAAATCGGCATGAACTTTCCGGATAATCTAATATTATATTTTGTTTGTTATCCCTCTTCAATAGAAATCTTTTTGCATGAATCAAAAATCAATCATTTAAATTGATTTTCTTTTTGTTTTTCTTCCTTTAGCAACTTCTCGATGACTTCCCAAAATGTTTCATCGTTGGAGCGGACAATGTCGGGTCAAAGCAAATGCAACAGATTCGTATGTCCCTGCGTGGCAACGCAGTGGTACTTATGGGAAAGAATACCATGATGCGTAAGGCTATTCGTGGTCACATTGAAAGAAATGCTGCATTGGAAAAATTATTACCACACATTAGGGGCAATGTTGGATTCGTCTTCACTCGTGGCGACTTGATCGAAGTCAGAGACAAATTGTTGGAAAACAAAGTACGTGCACCAGCTAGAGCTGGTGCTATTGCACCTTTGAGCGTCATCATTCCGGCACAAAACACCGGTCTTGGTCCAGAAAAAACTTCTTTCTTCCAAGCTTTGAGTATACCAACCAAAATTTCCAAGGGTACTATTGAAATTATTGTAAGTGTGTATTTATTCTCATGGAAAATATTATAATGAATTAATTTTCTTAACGATTAATATTTGTCATTTGATATTTTTTTAGAACGATGTACATATTTTGAAACCTGGTGATAAAGTAGGTGCATCAGAAGCAACTCTTTTAAATATGTTAAATATTTCTCCATTCTCGTATGGGTTGCTTGTTGAACAAGTATATGATTCTGGTACCATATTTGCACCGGAAATTTTGGATATTAAACCTGAAGATCTTCGTGAGAAGTTCTTAGCTGGTGTTGCTAATTTAGCAGCTGTTTGTTTAGCGATCAGCTATCCAACTGTTGCTAGCGCACCGCACAGCATCGTCAACGGTTTCAAGAACTTGTTGGCTGTTGCTGCTGCAACTGATGTTGAATTCGCTGAAGCGATGACGATCAAAGAATACATCAAGGTATATAAATTTGAATATCAAATTATAATTAAGATTTTCTAAATTGAGGTTATTTTATATACATGATGAAAACAATACACGTCTTAAGGATTTGAATCTCCATGTCAGAGCTAGAAATAGCGGAACCCACTGACATGTCAAATTCATTGTTGATAAATAAGCGTGAATTCGCTGTCTGATTCTTTTTCTTTAAAGATTATACAATTCTTTTTCTTGCGTTTATATAAAAACAATTACTTAATATAATATTATTATTGTTCTTTAGGATCCCAGCAAATTTGCAGCTGTTACAACAACTGTTGCTGCACCAGCTGCTGCTGCTGAAGCTCCTGCTGTTGAAAAGAAAGAAGAAAAGAAAGAAGAATCAGATTCAGAAGACGATGACATGGGCTTTGGGCTTTTCGATTAAACAAGAAAACGTGTTCACGATAACTCAATTCTTACGTTTTAATAACAAAGATTCTGTTGTCATTTCTTACGCCTGACGTCCAAATAAAATTGAACACTTTATAATGAACAGATTAAATATTATTATACCTTACTTATTTGTTTATCCTTGACTATTTAAAAAATATTATTAAAAATTGTTATTTTTTTTTACAGTACGAGATTTTTATATATAGGTTATGTGGATTGTTATATATTATATATATATATATATATATATAGAACATAGTATTGATTTGTTTACAATTATTATACAACTTTGTTATAATATGAAAGGTTTTCATGTAGAATTAAATAATTATGTTAATTTTATTTAACACTTCAGAACATTCGTCTTCCGTACCACAGTCTTTACTATTGTGATGGCAGAAACTCTCACGCCTATTGCGCATGCGCAAAGAGCGAAATTTAAATTCTACGAAAATAACCTTAGGTTATATATCAAATACAACACAATATGTAATTTTGTATGTAATTTTAGAAAGAAAAACAAGTTGTAAAAACAATGTGAGAAAATCTCTCTGTGCACGATAGTTCTGAAGTGTTAAAAAAACAATTATCGAAAATGTTAAATGACGTTGAATGAAATGAAAATTGGTAACTTTATTGAATTATTAGATTATTAATTATTTTTTGAAGTGAAACTTCTTTAGCAAATGAATTAATTGATTTATTTTTAGATAATAATATAAGTTTCATTTCTGTCATGCATGGAAATCATGGAGACAAGTTTTAAATTGAACACAAAGAGAGTTTTAAAAAGTTTTGAGCTTTCAAACTTACGAAAAATGTCCAGCATAAAAATGTTTATAATTTTTTTTTCTAATTGTTTCATATTTTTCTCTCAAAACTTGTAATCTTTCCGATGAACGAAACAAAACGAGAAGAAGAAGTTTCACTTCAATCATTTCTTTTATTTAATAATAAATAATCAATGTAGATATTCGTTACATGTACAAATGTAACTTAATTATTAATTACAAATCTGGCATTTCTCTTAATAATAAATATTTCTAAATTTTCGTCTATTCTAAATAAAAATAGATTTAATATCATGGATACGCTCTTTTTACACCGTTAAAATAAAAAATAAAAAACAAAGACTATCTAAACTGGTAATAGGATTATACATATATTTATATTTAACTATTTGAGTTGAGGAATTATTAACAATTAATTTACAAATTCTTTCATCTAGTCATTTTTGTCCTATTTTTTTTTCCTTTTCTTTTCCTTTAATTCTTTAACAATTTTTTTTTTTTTACTTTATAAAGAATTAAAATTGAGGTAATCACGTGATTTTGCATCTCTTTGCAAAAGATGATATATCTCTCTATGCGGCTCCTTATTTAAATAAATAAAATTATCGTTAAAAAAAAAAAATAAAAAGAAAGTATTTAAAACTTGTTTTAAATTTATCTAATTGATCCAAATGATCAACGATATAATATTAACAAATAGACCAATAAATTGGTCAACGTCATTTTGATCAATTCGTTCTCACAACGAATCTTCTTCTTCTTCTTCTTCTTCTTCACTGCATATTCAGTTGCAGTTAATTCTTTTTTTTTTTTTTTATTGTAGAGTACAAACTTTGTATTATTCGATTCTCTCGTCGATAACTTAACATCACAAAAGTTTGAATCTCTCTCTCTCTTTTCTTTTTTATTTTTAATCTACACATGTATATATTTATATCACTTGAAATTTCTTCTTCTATCCAAGACCTAAAACGTATTTGGGTAAATTGTACGCGAATCTAGGAATAGCCATAACGACGGACATCCTGCAAAATGATAATCAATTATTATTCATCAATGGAAAAAATATTATTTCATAGTATAAAACAAAATTATTGTATATTTTCAAGTAAATTAGAATTATTATTATTATTATTATTATGTTACGTTCTTACTTTATAAAATTAACTTATAATTGCATTGAAATGCAAAATGGAGTTAGGCCAAATCCAAAAAATAAATGGCTCGTATAATAATACTTATACAACCATTAAGATAAGTAATCATTATCGATTGTTATATTTATTTATTTATTTATTTAAAAGTAAAAGCTGCCCGAGATAGTAATTAAAAATAAGCAAGCAATTGTAAATGCGTTACTTACTCAAATGTAAATAATTTTGTGACGATATTATTATACCGATCACCATATTATAATCCATCACCAGGTTGTAAATAGAATAAAATATATCTAAATTGCATATCTAATTACAAATGTTATGTGCAAAAGATTACTTAATAATTATTATTAAAAATAGAAGTAGTATTTTTTAAATATATATATATATATATATGTGTATATACAAGAAAATTTGTTTCGCAGATATATAAAATATATCTTATTACTTTATAATACATTTTACTATTTATTTATAAACAACGTGTTTGACTGAATTATTACTAGAACATGAAAAACCTATGCAGCTATATGCAAAGATACGTCTGAAACACAGATAAATATAATCATGCATACATTATAATATTATAATTATTTGACTGATAAATATAAGTGCCTTTTCAACATGCAAGTATTAAACATTTAAATATAATTATTCATAGTTAATCATTTAATTATAATTACTTACCTATTTATAGGTAAAGACAAATCTATTATATATGTTATTATCTATTTAAAAACAATTCTATAAACATGCCAAATAAATAATAATCTTATTAAATAGATTAATATTCGATCAGGATAACAGAATATTATTATTATAGAATAACAATCATTATTATTATTATTGTTAATTTGAAAACAGTAATATTAAATGTAATATATATATATATATATATATATATATATAAAATATATATACAAATTTAAACAATATATTATGTATTAAAAATAATCTTATATTAGTTATTAATATTTGTTTATAAAATATTCTTTAAGAATTGTATTTGTTCTTTGGTAAAAAAAATATATATATATATATATATATACAAATATATATATATATTTTTAGTGAATATTTTGTACAGTCCTATCATATTTATTTGTTAAAAAATAATATTATGTATATAGAAATCCTAAGAGAAGTATAATATGTAAAAGAAAATAATTGATAAAATATTGCAAAACAAATAATGCCCTATTTATAATATTTGGAATAATATTCTAATAATTTGGAGTATTACAGATATAAAAAAAAAAAGGAAAAAAAAAGAAAGATAGATTGATAAACAACGTTATTGCAATATTACATATAGATTGTCCTACCATATGCATAATTATTAATGTTTAACCCTTTCACTACTACGGACCACTATAGTGGCCCTCCATAAAATATCGAATATTTTACATACGACAAACATATGCAGTTATAACACTAAGTCAAATATTCCACTGTGGACGTGTAATTTTAGTGTTTTGTGTTTCTTTTGAATAAAAATTGTTAATATCAACAAGAAAATTACTTGAAAATAAAGTGCAATTTCGATGCTGCTGCACGTATTAGCAGCACCCTGTTCAGTAGAAGTAGCACCGTGGAAAATATCGCCAAAATTCGCCCATAGCGAAAGGGTTAATTGTTATGTTAAAAAAAAAAAATAAAAAGAAAAGCATATATTATATTACTTTTAGCGAGTGCAGAAAAGATAAGAAGTATTGCACAGATAAAGAATTCATAAGTTTGTAGCAGTGTAGTACGCGTTTCTAATTAATAGTGGCTGTGTAAATAATAAAATGTGCAGAAAAAATTAATAATCAACGTTGTTAGTTCTAGTATCACCGTTATAATTATTGTGCCACCATTCATCTACGTACGATAATGCCAAACCGTTATAAATCCATGCTCTCCATCCTGTTCTCGTTTCATTGTCAATTCTTGATTCGATACTTTGGCACAATGCTTTGCGATCATGACTTCTGCCACTTCTTAAATCGCACAATAAACGTTTTCTACATTCGTCATTACATGGCGGTCTTACTGGAGAATTCTTATAATAGTGTCTGTAATTAAAATAATTAAATAAATCTCTTACAATATAAATTACATATTACACATTGAATTTTTAATTATATAATTTTATATATATATATAAAATAGAAAAGTATTAATATTACTTGTAATAAAGATCAAAAAGAGAAGGTTCGTTAGACATTTTATCAATCAACGAATCCCAATCTTTTGGCAAGAGTGATGCCATTTGATATGATTGTCTAGCACTGTACATTTTACTCCAGATAGGATAATCGTAAAGATTAGCTTCCTTTAAATTCATCACCCAACTTTCGTGATCTACGACCATCTGCAAAAAAAAAAAAAAAAATATTGAATACATGTGTATTTAATATTAAAAAGAGATTCAATGTCTTTTTATTTTTAATTTGTAATTTGTAATTTTTTACCCTTGTCGTTTTAGGATGATCACCATCAATGTAATATATTCGATATCCAGGATTAAGATCGTAATATGGTGTTACTGAAGGTCCTATATAAGCTATACTTAATGCTCTTCGTAAATCACGAGTATCATAGAATATTTGAAATTCGTCGTAATGCGTGTGACCAAAAAATTGTGCTGTTATGGTGGATTCGTACCTGAATAATGTTCAATTAAAAATAATTCATAAATAATACTGACCCCCCCCCCATATATATGCCCAATAAACTACCCCCCCATTATACTGACCGATTAATTATGTGATAATAATTTCTTGACCAAACTTTAAGACAATCTGAATGACCAGGTGGTATGTGACCAATTATATGTACTTTTTCACCATTCATTTCTGCACTTTGTAATTCATAAACTAGCCATTGCAATTCGCTAACTGGATCAGTACTGTTAATTAAAAGCCACCAGTTTTTATTATTACAATAATTCATGTTAACAGAAAGTATTCGAAAACCTGGCCGAACCAAGACCGAATAAAAGGCCCCTCTTCGAACTGTATGCGAAACACCAGCAGGTAACCAACGTCTCCAATGTTTGTCCAATGCATCGTACAACCATTCTATGCTATTTTCTTCGGGTACAAAAGGTGGTGGAAAGCTACAAACAATTAAAATTCAAAGCTTTATATATATATAATAAACAAATACTCATAAAACAAATTACTCGGAATTCAAGATTTGATTGTATTTTCAATGGAATTTGTTATTAGGAAAGTTTACCTATTAACTGGTGCACTTTCATGGTTTCCTAAAGCTGGAAATATAGGCACACCTGGAAACATTTGAATCATTTGCGTAACAGTCTCGTGCAGAACTTTAAGATTTTCTTCTCTCGTTTGATTCCATACATCGTGAGGTGGTAAATCACCAGTCCACAATATATAATCGATATCCTATAATAAATATTATTATATAAACCAATTATCGAAATTAATAGAGATAATCATGACACTCTTCTATTTCTTCATTTTCTAATAATAAATATCGAAGAAGGTAACATTAATTATTAATCTTGCAATAATTGAATAAAATATTAATATAAATGTTTTTTTTTCTGTAATCATGTTAAATTAATTCATTTACCGGATGCGTTTCTGCAATATGTTTCAACATATGATCTACGGTTCTTTTAGGAGTATCACACTTTCTGTAATCACCCCATCTACCTGCTGCAGCTGATGGTATTAATGGTGCACCATTAGTAAGCCTACAGCACAATGGTTCGTTACAATCAGCATTTGCACCCTCTTGATAATAAGGATCAAAGTGCGTATCGGAAAGATGTAAAACTTTGAAAGTAGGTGCGTTCTCTTGAGGTGGTACAGGAGGTTTAACTGGTGGCTTTTTAACAGGTGGAAATGCAACTTCCCATTCGTGTAATGGATTATATGCATCCTCGCATGCATCACCAATAACAAAACTACAAATTTGGGCTGGACCCATGTCAACTTGTTTTAAAACGTATATTACTTCGGACTAAAAAAAAGAAAATACAAAACATTAAAATAACAAACAAAAAAGTATTAATGTAATTATTAATATTAATACATTAATAATATAATAATATTAAATTATTATTTATTTATTTATTTCTTGTAATACTTACTCCAAATACCAAAGTTACACCATCACAAACTCTTGGACTTTGAATATTGAGAGATACACAGAATTGATATATACTTGCCAATATCTCTTTATCACTTTTACCATTTTTTATATAATTTTTAAGTAAACCAGCACCGACTTTACAAGCTGTACAAGAAACCTTAGACATCACAGAAGTTTCAATTTCCATCATAACTTGTCTTAAATCTAATAACTTTAATGCTTTATCCACGAATAATGACAAGTGTCCAGATGATTGTACATTTTCCATATCCCATAACATTCGTGAATAATTTAACTAAAAAGAAACAAAAAAAAAGATGAAGAAGAAAATAAAATTATTTTTTTTTTTGGTTTGTCAAAGTTAATTTAATTAGTATGAATAACATTTTATACAGTTAATTTAATTTATTTGTTTTGTATTTTCGTATTGTAAAGGGTAGTAATAAGTTAATTTAATTAATATATATTTGAATATATTTCATTAATTATCTTTGTTGATCCATGACATTACTCGATTATCATAAAACTTTCACGAAAGCAATGTCATTGCCGACAAATCATTTGCTTGTATCTAAAAATATACACATATTTTTACATATATACATACATATATATACAAGAGAAGCTAGTTACGTATAATACTTGCAATCCTATCTTTTGCTATGGTGAAAGTATTTTGACACTGAAAGTGAGAGTTGGTGACACTATGGTGTTGCATAAAACTAAATCTAATTTAATCTTTGAATTAATAATAAATTTTTTTATATATATATTTTTTTTTTTTTTTTTTTTTTTTTGATAGAAATATTAATAATTGTTTACTCGTTTAAATATTGATATGAGAGAAAGAGAAAGAGAAAGAGGAGTTTAATAAAAATTGATAATTAAATTCGAGAGAGAGTGAAAGAAAATCAGGCTAACGTATCTAGGTTGAGATGATTTTCTCTTTCACAAAATATTTCAAGTATCATAAGATTAAAAAAAATTAAAATTAATATAATACATTAAATTAATAATATTACTAAAATAATATATTATAAATTAATTATTATAATATATAATAGTAATATATAATATTATTAATAATAATAANTATATAATATTATTAATAATAATAATTAATTAATTAAATAATATAAAAATAAATGTTTGTATAGTAATTGAATTTAAATTATATTCACAGAAACTAAAACTTGAATTATTAAATATAATTTATTATTAATAAATTATTCTGTTTCTACAAAAATATTTTAAGTAAAAGTATTAACAGCACTCACACAAATGGTTAAAAAAAAAGAAAAATGAAAATGAAATTTCTTACCCTTGTCAATTGATCTCGATTGGTTTCATTAATAAAAATGGTATCAGCAGTTGGTGGTAATTTACGAAATCTACTGTTAAATGGTAAAAGTGCAATATCAAAATTTTCCGAATTTTTAGCTTTCTCTTTTAACCATTCGTCCGCTAATTGTGTCCAATTTGTCGCAGCTATTTCCGCCTCTCGTTTTTCCCTTTCCCGGATCGGGTTTCCTATATACAAAAGAAATAACAAAAAATATAACAAGTTACCTAATTAGTACATTAAGTTTAGATCAAGTCAATATATTATCTAGTGATTAATCAATTACGACCTTCAAACGAACGATTTCAATAAAAATGATTTCATTATAATTCTTTTCTATGGTAACATCTCATTTTCATTTTTAATTTATGTATTTGATGATTCATTTCTTTCTCTTGTTTGTTTCTATTTTAGTTAATATAACATTTATATATAGTATATAATAAAATAATATTTATTGTAATTATTATTAAATATAAATAATTCATAATATTATTATTAATATTATTATATAAGCATAATATAACATTTATATACTATATAATAAAATAATATGTAAATTCATAATATTAGTTGTGAACGTTTTTATACAAACGTTTTTTCTTTTCTTAAAAGAATTATTACTTTATTCAAATTTTAATGTTATTTTGTTAAATTCATATAAAATATGTCACATTACATTTTTTCAATGTTAATATTAACAAAAATAGGCAAAAGAAATTCTTCTGTTTTTATATTTCCTATTTTTCTAATTCTTAGAAACTTATAAATGGTATTTTAAAATTTCATATAAGGAATGGTAAGAAGACAAAAAAAAAAGAAAAAGAATGATACAACAAAAAATCTTGTGGCAATGAAACGTTTACTTCCTTTTGTGTGTGTTTTTTTTTTTACTTTGTAAAGAAATATCTAAATAATGTTATGAACGTTAATGATAATATTATTCTATTATTACAGGTAGATAATAAAATAATAAATTAAAATTCTTGTTTACTTACCAAGGACGTACGTTATTGTGCAAATGAGAAAAAATAGGATGATATTGCTCGATGAGGTCCATTTTTTCATTGGCATGCTCTATCTTCTATAATTTTTGATATGTTTCCCTAAAAAAGAAAAGAACAATGAAAAACAACAAATATAAATAATTTTATATATTTATAAGAAAAAAATATATATATAATAGTATATTCATTAAATATGTATATATTTATATTATTAAAAAGGAAGATTTTCAATAGTACCCTTAAAAATAAAAAAAAAATATTGCATACATATACAAAATGAAGATTGAATTAAAATTTGTCGTACTATACAACCGACAGCCGAAGAAAACTTTGTTTGCAGCGTTGATCACTGACCCACATACAGGTAACAGTAACGGTGGGTTCTATATAAAAACGTTTTTACTGTGTCAATGACATTTTTCGAATGTGCCAGCCAATATATTTACACATACGTCTTACAAATATATACTAAATACAATAACGGTCTGTCCTAACTGCGAATAAGGTTGGGCAAAGAGGGCAAGGGTTTATCTCTTTCAATATTTTATATATTAAAATTATATATAAATATAATTATTATTATATATAGTATAATATGTTAATATACTAATTTATTTAAAACGACACGCATCACGCGTTTGGTATCTCTTTATATACCCTGTCTGCTTTTTAACAAGCTTTTTCCGTTATTTCATAGTAATCGTTTGGAATCATGATTCATTATAATGACGACTCTTCTCTCTCTTGGACAATAATTCTATAAAAGATAATACGAGTAAGAAATCATTTGTTCAATATTGTTCAACACTTTTTTTTCTTTTTGTCTCTCCCCTTGTTAAAAAACGTTCATTTGTGTGTAACGAAAATTACATACAAATTACAACAAATTATATTAAACAATTATATTTTATTTTATTGCTTTTTGTTTTGTTTTGTTTAGTTTAGTTTTATGGAAGATACTATTATATATTTTATAATTTTTCTTTTAATATTATATTTCTTTTTTTTTTTATTTGATTGATCACATTTAATTGTGAATATGATTTACATATGATCATATATATGATCACAATATTTCTTTATTAAACAAAAAAATACACTTTTACTTTACCTATGTAAATCTATTCTAAAACTCGATCTATATATATATATATACACTGTGTGAATTTATTTATGATGTGTCTATAAGAAAAAAAAAAGACTTTCATTCAATCGTTATTCTTTTTATCGATCGAATTGTTTTTACTCAACTTTCACGTAAGAATAATATTCATACTTTCGTTTGATAAATAATTTGGGATGTTAAATGGTTATACATATTAGCTTTTTTTGTTTATTCTATAATTCTCTTTTTTTTATTATTATTATTTTTATTTTTCACCTATAAAATAATGCTAATGGTAAAGTAGAAGATTTATCGAAAGAGATAGAGAGGGAATATGGGTAAAGTAAGATTTCATGGTATTAAAGATACAACATACGATTCGAATCTAACTTTCGCCGAAACGAATTCTTCTTCCCATTGATCCAACTGCATCATCGTACCATATCTTAGTACTCTTTATCAATAAGTAAATAATAATTATTAATACGTGTAATTTTAATTTACTCATTTTCTAATATTACTTATTGTATTAAACTAATTTAATACTTAATAAAATGAAATGAAATGAAATGAAATGGAATAAAATAAAATGAATATATATATAATCAGAGAAATGATCTCAAATAAATATTGAAAAATGATGCGAGAGAGTCAACGATAAACTGTGTCAAACGGAAGTACAACAAAAAAGGTAATACGTAAAATAATTTCACGTTGTACATCGAAACTCATACAAATTGAATGAGTTTACCCTTTTATTCATATACAATCGTACAAATGTATACCACAAAATATTATCACACGTTAATAATATTCAAATGATCCAAATAATCCAGCCAGACTTATTTAAATGTAAGAGAAAAGAAAAGAATAATATAGAAAATATAAAAAAATAAAAAATAATTGAAGTACAGGTGGATATGAAAATATATATAAAATGATTTTTAGAAAGAACAGAAATGTCTTATTTTTCATATCGGTATTTCTATTTATCGAAACGTGTTCCTTTTCAACACTTCTTCAGAGAATACGAACCTACTATTTAACCGTTATTCGACCTAACAAAAAAAAAGAGATTCACTTTGGCCAGGTCTTTGTACGTGTTTGTATTTCGAAATTCACACTCATGCCAGATATTTCTTTCCTATATATATATATATATATATATAAACTTTATTTATTAACTTATAGTATAACTACTTATCATTATTACTTCTACAAAGTATTACTTATACTACTTATACTTATAGTATTTAATTAAATATTCATTTACAGTATTTTATTTTATTTTATTTTATTTTTTTTTTTCGTAACTTGATGTTTCAACGTTTGAAGAAATTGAAATAAAAAAACAAAAAATGAGAAAATAGTAATAAGAGTCAAAGTCAATCAAGTTGAAAGTTTCTTTCTCGTGCGTTTATCTCTCTATTCGTCGTAGGCTTTGATAAATTAAGATACGAAGGGGAGATTATGGCAATACGAAAGTAGTACGAAACAGAGAAAGGCAATACAGCCATCAGCATCAGCTTTGGATGAACATTGGCTTGCATAGTATTTTCATTCATATATTATTATATATATATATATCTAATGAAAGAAAGATAGAAATAGTAATATAAACGGTGTACACATACTATTGCACTCATAGACATTTTTTTTCCTTTCTTTTCTTTTCCTTTTTTTTATATTTTTTAGGAAAGAATAATTTGAAATAAAGAAAAAGACAAAGAGAAAATAAACAAACAAACAAACAAGAAAATTTGCAAAGCATTTAAAACACATGTACAACTTATTGCAAATACATGGTTGTTGTTGTTTTTTTTTTCTTTTTTTCATATCATACGAGAAGAGAGTTAATAATTTAGCCAAGTCATTCTGGTGAAATCATATAAGTCAATTTCGATCTCGTGAAATCGTCCTTTCTCGAATTTCATCTTATATTATTGATGAATCAAATGAATGTTTTTCAAATTGTACATTTTCACGAGAATATTATTTTAACGTAATACAACAATTAATAATTATCTTTCTCGTTACAATGAACACCTGATTTATCACGTTACATCAAGTATTACATGCTTATAATCTTTCCATTTATACCTATTAATTTGTTTCATTATTTGTTTACATTTTTCTGTATAT